AGTGGTTGGTGCGCCCTTGAGATGTTGCTGTTTTTTGTGTGCCGGGGATATCTGCTGTAGGCAGCGCTGGTTTCGATATGCCGCTGAGCTGATTTTGGAGCCCCGTGGTCTTGTCCAAGGTGTCCGTTTTGATAGCTGTCTTCTGAGAGATTTGCCCCCCCATGGTGACGAGATTTGTCAATACATGTTGCTGGGCCGCCCGTGATGCTCAACGGGTGTGCCTTCGCTTCGCCGTTGTGTCGTCCTTGAGGCGTTCGCGTGAGGTACACGTGTTGAACATACCTGCGGACGCGGCGAGCTTGTGAGGTGTGCCTCACGCCCGACCAGAGGCGTCTGATTCCGATGTATCGCCTCGCTCTGTGCTTGTTGTACGACCAGGCCCTGTTCTTGTGGATCGTGTCCGTGATAAACAACTCCCTGGGAAAGGGCGACGACAGCTTGCCGTTTGTCGGCGTGCTAGACATTTTCGGTGCGTTGCCCCCGTCGAACGGGCGTCTGGTGCCGTACGTGGTGCTGTGATGGGCGAGTCTTTTCCGTGCCGGTTCCTATGGCCTTCGTGTTCCTGGTAGCCTATTGATCAGTGTTGGTCCCACTCCTTGTCACGGAGAACGAAGAACATTCCCTAGAGGAAAACGAAGGTTTCGAGGACCAAATAGGAGAAGAATCGCGATTACGTGTTTTTTTCAAACGTTTCCCGATCTGTACTACGGTGCTTGAGCCCACCTGCTTGCGTGGTACATGCGCCCTCCACGCCACTGTATAGGGTTCGAGAACTTCGACACCAAGAACGAGTTCGAGCAGCTCCTCATCAACTTCACCAACGAGAGCCTCCAGGACACCTTCAACAAGCAGGTGTTCAGCAACGAGCTCCGCCTGTACGAGGAGGAGGGGATCGATGTGGTCGTGTCCACCTGCCCCGACAACGCCGAGTGCCTCAATATGCTCTCCGGCAAGCCTAGGGGCATCATCCCCAGGTGCGCTCTTTGTTTTGTTTCGACCAGAGAATGTTTCAGAGGGAAAATACCGCCGTGCGCGTGTGACAGCTACAAAGCTACATGCTCTGCACACGTAGAAGGCTATGACTTGTCTCGATACTTCATCGTCGTATGCCCCATGAATGCATGCCCACAAATTTTGTTTCCCTGAACCTCTTCGGTTGCTGACGCCCTTGATCTGCTGTCCTGTTTCCGGGAGAAGCTTGGACAACATATGCGCCGAGCCCAACCCCAGCGACGCCCGCTACTTGGACGGCCTTCACAAGGCCTATTTACGACACCAAGACTTCCCGCAAACCGCACAGAAAAACATGGTGAGTAGCTGACGTTTTTAAGAATAATCATACTTCTACTTGTTCATACTGTCATGTCTGACCCCTTCGAGCGGATCCGTCGATAGATCTGCGGCGCAAAGCAAAGGAAGGCGTGAAATGATGCAGTCCGTGGGGTTTTTCGTCGGATTTCAGCGCTTATACCGTGTCGCGATAATGCCGATGTGGCCTTCTGCCGTGTAATATCAAAGAGAAAACTGACAGAGATACAGGGCACGTCATGCTGCATTCGGGTGTCACGCGAAATTGAGCATGGCTGCATCCCAACGAGGTGTTATACACTCGCCGAACCGCTTTGTTTTTTTGCGCCTTCTATTGTTTTCTTTTCCGCGTATACAAATCGCTCGCGCTCCCGAAAGATCAAACATCAAAATTCGTAGTATACAGCTCTCCTTGTTCGATGTGTTGTTCTAAGCCACCTTCCTCGCATCTTGTTTGTATTCTCTTCGTGCGTCCTGTTTAGCGCGAAAATTTCTGGGTTAAGCACTACGCTGGTAAGGTGAAGTACACCGTGCACGGGTGGGTGGAGAGGAACATGGACCGGGTCCCGGAGTCTTTCGGCACCACGTTGGCAACCAGCAAGCACCAGGTGAGGAGGAACAACGCCAACGACCAATTTATGCCACATGGCACTCGTNCGGCACCACGTTGGCAACCAGCAAGCACCAGGTGAGGAGGAACAACGCCAACGACCAATTTATGCCACATGGCACTCGTCAGCGTTTTTGGTGCTTTTGGCGACGGAGATAGACCGATCCGTTACAGATCGAGAGCAGCGTCGTGAACGCAAACCCTTGAAGGATTTTTTCTTTCTTTTTCTGTAGGTTAAATCTTCGCGCGCGCGGAGCCCCACAGCAGCAGCAGCGACAGCGGTGTATGGATTCATTTGTG